GGGGGCCAGGGCCCCGGGGGCCCCTCCCGGCCGCAACTCGAGGGCAGGCTGCAGCCAGGGGGCCAGCCCAGTTCCCAGCTGCCCAGGTGCTGGGAAGGGGGCTCACCAGTAACGCTCGCTGCCTGCGCCGATGGGAGTTCCCACCCCGCCGCCATCATTCCCCTTCTGCTGCTGGAAAAACGCGGGGGCCAGAGGGGCCCCGCTGCTGCCCTAAAACCTGCTCCTGGCAGCATACCCGGGCCGAAGCGCCTCCGCGCTCCTCGTGGAAGTTGCAACCGAAAAAAAAATAATTTGTAAAGCCACTTCTTTCGAGTAGTCATCCAAACCAAACCAAACCAAACCAGAACTTGGCCGCTATTAGCTCACTCCATAAGGCCCTTTTGCACAGAATAGGCAGAGGGACGTGCAGTGAGAACAAGCTATTCCTTGCAAATTTAAATCCTTTCTGTGTTCTTCTGGGGCTTCTCCCCTTCAGAAAAAAAAAAAAAAGAATTAAGCTTAACATTTAAGAGCTTCTAGTCTCTTTGTCTCTTCAGAATAAATAGCTCACTTGGCTAATAAGGAAACACAAAACCATGCATATAACACTACTTAAGATTATGAAGTAGGGAAACTATACTGAAATACATGAACTCTGAAGTTAGAAAACTGGTTGAATTCCAGGTTTCGTGCTAACAAACGCAAACTAAAGGTCAGATCTACAGCACTCAATTTCTGTGTAACAAACGGACTGCATGTGAAAGTGGATGATAATTACAGCTACCAGTCCTACACTGCACAGGTACAGCCAGTAAGTTTGGGTCCAGGCCTCAAGAAAAAAAGCTGAAGCTTCAGCCATTATAGTAGCAGAAATAAAGCATATTTAAATTTTTACATGCATGTCTGAGCACGTCTTTTTTTTTTTTTTTTTAATTACAAGAACTTTTTTTTTTTCCTTAAAAAAATACAGCAGCTCAGCTTCCCAGATCCCGTTACAAAACCGTGGGGACAAGGAGCCTAATCACCTGTGGAATTCTCACATGGGTCTTAGTTGTAGGTTCTAATCCTGCAGAGGCCTGCTTTGCTCGTTTCACCCGACCGGTCGCAGGTTCCCACCACCCACCCCACCGCTTCTGTTTGAGCTGGGTAATCCGTTTGGCTGGGATAACGCTCAGCGGCCACCTGCCGCAGGACGTACCAGGTACCACAGCCGGCCCGAGTCAACTCTTCCACCCGAGAGCCCTAAGCGGCCAGCCAAGCCCAGTGGCACCAGTTGTGGGGGAGGCAAGGCGGCACTGGCGAAAGGAGGAGGCCATTGGCCCACTGGAGGTGCCTCTCGGCAAGCAGGAAAGGCCAGCTCAGTTCTGCTCTGGGCAACTGAGCCAGAGTTTGCCGCGTTCTGCACAAGCAACCCAACTAGACAAGAGAGCATCTGTGAAAAAATAGAAACCTGGGGGGAAATCTGCCTGTAAGGTCTAGTCAGAAAAAGACACCTTCTGAGAAACCGGTGGTCACAAATTTCTGAAATACCATTTAAAACTTAGTGCTGTCTATCCTTGGAAATACGCCTTTCAAACAGGTTGTTATTTCAAAACTTATGCTATTAAATTACAATTCCTACATCTGTTAATAACTAAAACATTTAATCAAATTAACTAAGCTACAATTCCGCCTACAGTTATGACAATATATAGTGAAAGTTGGGTTTGAACTGAACATCAATATATAGCACTTTTGTTGTATTACTCCATATTGGACAAGTTACACATGAAAAGAAGGAAAAACGTATAATCGGCATGCTAGGCGCAGTATGCATAGAAAAGCAAAAATATATATATTATATCCAGAAGCAATGTTCATTCACTCCTAACTATCCTGGGGAAGGGCGGGAAACAAATGTTCTTGCTGAGAGGAATGCTACTGTAAAGGTTGGATAACCAGATTTTCTGTGGAACTTTACTGGAGTCATGATGAGTATCTGTTTGGGAGCACTTCATGTCTACTATAGGCATCTCACTTAGGTGGTCTGAACTGTACTCTAAAGGCAGGAGCCCAAGGTCTTTGGAGAGGCTGGAGAGAGGGAGGTCTCTCTGCAGACTGTCCAGGGCACCTGCACCTTCAGCGCCACAAACCGTGCTCCCCAAGCGCCTAAGGACACCTTGGTGCCCAAGTTAAATGCCTGAAGTTAAGCAGTGTGACGTACAGTCCATCCAACAGCACAAACCTGTCATTTAAAAGTGAAGAAATATTTGTAAGGATTTATCTAATCACAGGTACTTTGCTAATACAGCTGTCAGTTCAAAACGGCTTTGTCCCGATAACTTCATTTTTATGTACCCTACTCTCCACCTTGACCGTAGGGAAGCTAGGCAGTAGGGTGCCTTAAACTGCTTGTAAAATACGCCTAAAAAGGCTTTAAGTCTCATTGCAGGTGTAAACCCTTCAGTTTCTTTAGCCACTCCACAACCATCTTGAGCCTTCACAGCTACACATACGCATCTTACGTTACCAGGCGTACACTTTTCCACCGCTCCGTCACAGGTTAGGCAGGTTGTTTGCAACTACAAATGGTTTGCAACCAAGAGGTATGCAAAGTATTTTCTATCCTCACTCGAGGGTTACAAGTGCAAGGTCTCCCACTCTTAACGTGAGGATTAAGGTACTGAATGAACTGATTGTTTTTCTGTGTACTGCCTACTTGGCTTTAGTCTACTGCAATCCCTACAGTCAATTAGCTCAGCAGCTCAGGCAGGGGAGAGAGAAAAATCCAACACTTATGACCACAAAGCTCCTACTGGGCAAGTATTGTACAATCAAACAGTGATGTCTTTTAGATCCCTTTTCTCCAGCTCATAGCATGATTATATTTACTTTGTCTAGAAAGAGATTTCCCATAAACAGACGGAAAATAGCAACGGCAGTCTTCTACACAGACTTCCATTTGCAGTGTGCCGTGGTGTGAATTTACAGCACGCTGGCTGTTCTGTACTAACTCCTTACAGGGGGAGTAAACACTTAACACACACATAACACAGAAATAAGCATATACCAAATAAGCTTTACTTCTCTTTCTATTTGTACTCGGTATGCATCCAGATGTTGCAGCAGTTCAGAGGGACAGAGTAGCTAGAGTACTTGACATTCACACCTCATATAGGACTTAAACTTTTAATTTTCTGAAGCTTAGCACACAATGAACTAGGTTCCTTTATTAGGAAGAAACATTTTAATGTGCAAGAACACTTTATTTGAAACTCAAATATATCTGGTGCCCTATTGGAAAGATTTCTTTGTCAGCTCTATGTTTGATCAATTAGCAACTTCTAAAAGTAATTCTCACTTTGTTTTGGGAGTTTCACTATTTTTTCCTCTGCTGCTTGACCTCTTTTTACCCCTGCTCCTGGATCGAGAGGAACTCCGACTTCTGCTCCTACTGCGTGTTCGACTATGACTTCTGCTGCGACTGCGGCCTCTCCTCTTTCTCCCCCTGCTGCGAGACCTCCTCCTTTCTCGACTTCTTGACCTGCCAGACCGGCGCCTTCGCTTGTTTTTGCGGCGATTCTTTTTTCTCTCGGATTCTCCATTTCTCCGGTAAGAATGATCTGGGCTTGGGCTGCCCCTTCTCCTCGACCGGCTGTAATAGTCATCACGATGGCTCGTTCTGTTTCTCCTTTCAGAGTTTTTAGACAACTGATTAGTCCGTTCAGGAGAAATACGTATGTCTCTATTGGCCTCCCAAAACTCATTGTTTGGATTTTTGAATACATGAAGAAAGTTGCAGTGTTTCCCTCTTGGACACTTCTGCCTTTCAAATAAGCCTGCAACAGATTAGGGTTTGCTTTTTTACGAACCAGACCTGTTAAATCTCTTTCTTCGTTATGTACCTACTGGAAATAAACTTATTAAACTCAACTTTGCTTCTTCAAACAGAAAAACATGCATCTGACCACCTATCAATTCATGAAACATTATTCTTCAGTACGTACTTTTCTTGGAATTAACTTTTTAACAGCTATGAAGGTTTTAGCTTAAAACAATTTTCATAAGTAATTCTACTACCTTAATCTAGGAACGTAAATATAGGTAAGTCAAGTGTGATAGTATAAGAACTGCTGGTGGTTCAGAAACTGCTGTTGTTTTTTAAAGAGATAAACTACTACTTCCTGTAGTTCCACCTTAAGATTATGTCCTGGTTTCAGCTGGGGTAGAGATAATTTTCCTCCTAGTAGCTGGCATAGAGCTGTGGTTTGGATTTAGGATGAGAATAACACTGATAACACCCTGATGGTTTAGTTGTTGCTGAGCAGTGCTTACACCAGTCAAGGACTTTTTAGCTTCTCCTGCTCTGCCAGGTGCACCAGAGGCTGGGAGGGGGCACAGCCAGGACAGCTGACCCCAACTGGCCACAGGGCGATTCCAGACCATACGGCATCATGCTCAGTATAGAAACTGGGGGGAGTTGGCCAGGGGGCAGCGATCGCTGCTTGGGGATGGGCTGGGCATCGGTCAGCAGGTGGTGAGCAATTGCATTGTGCATCACTTGTTTTGTATATTCTCTTATCATCATCTTTTTTTTAATTCTTTTTATTTATTATTATTATTATTATCCTCTGCTGTTTCAAACTGTCTTTATCTCAACCCATGGGTTTTACTTTTTTTTTCCTGATTCTCCCCCCCCATCCCACTGGGGAGGGGGGGAGGGAGCGAGTGGCTGTGTGGTGTTCAGCTGCCTGCCGGGTTAAATCACGACAGATTATTAGTTCCAAAGCTAGGATCCAAACTTTCTTTTCCAGTCCAAGGTAAATGCACTAGAATGATTCAGACACTTATGTGACATTGTATGAATATTCCCTTCCTTTCCTAGATCTACCCAAGCAAGTTAGCATACTTGTCTTCCCAACAGAAATGAACTGCAACGTTAGGCAGATCTGAAAGCTACAGGCTAATTCTCTCTTTTTCACTTCCATAAGTACTCTTTCAATAAAACACGTTCTCTTTTCCAAGTGTTTACACGACTCACCACATATAGCAGTTTTCCACCTTGTCACAGGACAAAATTCACAATGAAGTTGTCGGCCTGCATACCATCGTCCACTGAACAGAGCAAGAGCTGCCTGACAGTCCTTCTCCCTTTAAAAAGTAAAAATCACACGTAGCATTATCATCGTACAATCATTTAAGATTGTTACTTAACCAATTTTAGGCTCCCATTACAGCATGAGAATGAATCACTTGGATTATACAGACAGTGTTCACAGATCTAAAACTTAGTAAGATGGCGAGTACTTACGACTGATACTGGACATACACATTTCCTCGTAGGTGAGGCTCGTAGTTGCAACTGACCTAAGGGGATGGAAACGTGAAGTTAGTCCAGCGGAAGGTTTATGCTACAGAGCAGCTCATGCATGTTGAGATGGCAGCCATTCTAATTTATGACAGCTCATCAGTAGGAGTTTACATATGATTTTCTTTGGAACGCTTAATTTTAGCCAAATAAAAGGTTTTGAAGAATAAAAAAGGGGAGAGAAAAAAAAAAAAAAGAGCCCTTCTGGCTTATGTTTGTCCATTTCCAGCATCAGTGTTTGATTAACATTGGGACCTCCACTTCACTTGGTCCACAAGACCGCTTGTACTCAATTGTCTTGCACGTGTCTAGGCCAGCCCTACTGTGCCACAGTGAAATCCTGCTCTGAAAACAATTAGTAGTGTCCTCATGTGGAAATGTAGGATTCATTACAGTAAGAGAATCTTTAGAACAATTTCACTTCACAACATCCCTGTGAGATGAGTTAGTAAAGCTGAAGTCGCTCACTTCCACTGTACAGTTCAGAATCACCTTTTTTCCATAATAATTTAGCATTCAAAGTGTATCTAAGGCTCTCAAAAATACACAATTTAACTTCCAAAAATCTTGTTGCTAGTTACAAAGGATTCTGTAACGGGCAGGCCCAAGCAGGCTAGAACCCAGTTCTCCAGGGCAGAAGCGTGAGCCCCACCTCTTTTGCCCCCTTCAGATACCCACACCAAATGAGGCGAGTGGCTTCTTTCATCACTGAACCCTGACCAACACTCAGAGAATACCTCTCTGTGCACTGGGTTAGGGCAAGGGCTTCAGACACATCAACAAGCAGTTGTATAATTAAATATTACAGAATAAGCAGCCAAACTACTTGAGATAAACAACATCAACACAAGAACAAGCAAGAATGATTTCGCCATGGACGCTTCTGGGTGGGAAAAGAAGCGTGTTTTGTAAGGGTCTGCCAGATTCTGGAGTAGCTTCCCAGAAAGAAGAGCAAGAATAAAACCTTGGGCTACACGGGAAAGGGAAGAGGGTTGTGTATAATCCGATTATAAATGGTAGCAGAGACTCAACTCAGTCCCAGCTGAGATCCCTGCGGCCAACATGTTAATTTCTAAGCATCTCTAATACAATGCAAATGCCCATGAGAATGATGTTACAGCTGCACAATTACTTCAGGAGTTAAGAAATGGCCACACTAAAAGCTTTTACCCCATTATTAATCATAAGGACCCAAGTATGTGCAACTTTGCACAGCTTCATGTAACAACAACGATACAAAGTTGAGGATCTGAGTTTGATGGTGAGACAGCATTTCAACCCACACTCCGCTGGGAATGTACATCCTGTCTTCTAGGATGGAGCACAGCTTGCTAATATCCCAGAAGTCAAAATACAGAATGGTTACTCCTCCAAGCAAGTGAAGGTTTCTTACCTATAAAGCTCATGATGCAACTACTGAAAACTCACTTTTTCTACTTCCCTCTTGCTTGAAATGCTAAGACCACCTCAGTTCTGAGGCAGCTGTCAGTAGATGGAAACAAAAGGAGAAAAGGTGCTGCGTGCCTCCTGGTGACTGCAGGAAGACACTCGGGAATGGCAAGCAGAAAGGGATGCTGCAGTAAGTACTGCTGCAAGGAGATTTCACCATCCAAGCTGCGTATTTTGGGGCAACATGGAACTATTAACACGCATCATTCATCTCCAAGGTCTCCATTTACAGGTTCCTCTTATTTCCCCCCATAAGAAATCATAATATAAATGAAAAAAATTCAGGAAAGAACATTCAGCAAACCAAATGCAGAAACTAAGGATGGACGATGAATCTCAACACCATTTACATAACTTACCTTTTTATAATTCCTCCTACTGAAATATCTACTACCTTTTCATTTCATTGTCATTTGATTTTATTTTATCCAACTGGTCCTAAAATGACATTGTTTGGGTGCATACTCCAAACACATTTTATACCCCCGCTACTTCATTTCTTAGGCACAAATACAATAGCCCAGATAGATTTATGTTGTCTAACAGTCTTAGTGGACACTCTGGGGCTTATCACGGACTAAGTAAAGAAGGGACTGTGAGGTAAATGAACTGTTGAGCAATATAAAATATGTTGTTGCAATATAAAGGTGCAAGCTTTTATAACAGTTCAGGGGAACAAGAGAGAAGATTCACCCAGAGTACGACAGTGCTCTGTCACAGCAGTGACAAGTTTAGAGGTGACATGACAGTTGCAGTTGGCTGTGAGGACGCTATGTAGTTCTCTAATGTACACGGGATGCTGGACATGCTGGACAGAATTCCTGTTAAGGCTAGCTAAAACATAGCTTGCATGGTAAACGTTACGTATTTAACAAGGTATTACACTGAGATGCATACCTTGAATTGAACAACCTTCCCCACGTTCTGAAATTCGGGGAGCACGTCCTCGTAGAACTCCAAGAACTGCTGGTAGGTCTCCTCGTCACTGTACTCGAGACTCGCGTCTGTGTCATAGTCATCCCTCCGGCACTGCTCCATGCCAAAAGTAATGAACATCCCTCGGACGAGTAGTGTCTTACTAGATGTTGGATAGTTATGCTTGCGAGAACACCTGGACATTTGTAGCGAAGGAAGAAAAGTGAAAAGATCAGCACTTTCAGCAGAAGATGCATTTTCTGAGCCTTCACACACCTGCCATTTTGAGTAACAGCTATTACAAAAGAAAATCCATTAGTGGAAGATCAACATATTTCAATTATTGAAACAAATCTTTTGGAAGTGAGTTGGCGTATAATCTTAATGCTTTCTGCTATGCATAAGTACATTCTTGCTGAAAAAAGCACGTCTGCAAAAGCTATAGATACCAGTAACATAAGAGAGGAAGTAATTTCTTTTAGGCTACTAGGGTTAAGTGTGTTCTTCATTTCTGAAGGGCTTTACAGAAAGACTACTGACAATCTTTGAAGACATTTTAAAGCAAGTCCCTGCTCTTCTTTTTGCAAACTGAACAACTTTTACTGCAGTTGTTCTCATACAGGGGAGTGGGGAGGGAGGGAAAGCATGTTTAGACATGAATTTGGATGAGTACGAGATTGGTATTTTTCCACTTAAAAAAAATGTTTCTTAGAAATAAGTCTTATCTTAATCTACATCTTCTCAGCAGCCATAAAAGCATTAGATCTCCCTCACCATCCATCACATTCAGGCTGCCTCCCTCACATGCTGAAATACGGTTCTTCCCCACAAACCTTTGGATTCAGTAAGAACATAGATGCTAGCCTCCATGTTTATTTCACTGGGCTTTATGATCTCGGTTTCAAACACTTCCCTGAGCAACTGGGTCATGCACTCTCCAACACATTTCTCCTTTTCGTGACATGATCAGAAATATAGTCAGACTAGTCTACACTCTTTGTCTAGCACTCACAAAGCACGGACAAATTGGAGGGAGGTCAAGACTCAAAATGGGCAATTACAACCTAGACTTCAGATAGAAACTTTCTTTCTGCATCCAGTCAGTCAAAAAATTGACTCTCACTTTCTAGTTGGCACTTTAGACTTCAAAAAACAAGAAACAAAACTCCAAAACCCAAACTGGAGACAACTGATTTGGTTGGGTTTTTTGGTTGTGTTTGTTTTGTTTTTTTTTACATTTTAGAAGCTGCCTCATTTCACTGTTTCATTGCAATGACAGAACTCAAAATATTATACCCAACCAATATCATCTGTCTGGAACCCCAAGGAAAATGAATGACCCAAAATCCAGTATTACTACAAAGTATTAGGGTCTGAATTATTGGAGAAATTACTAACAGTGAACTCAGCCAGTTTTAGCTTCTTTGAGACATAGTGAGCTTTGACAAGATTCAACAATTACTTTAATGATACCACTGGCTCTCCATTTTTCACCACTATGGTCCATTTCAGCTTCCAACCCATTCTTCCAGTCCTCATCCTAGCTGTATCTCAGTCCTTCAATTTATGGTCAAGACCAGAATATGAAGAAAGCAGGTATGTGAGGAGGAAGAAGGAAGACGAAGCAGAGTTAGCTGAGATCAACAACTACAGGTGAAAGAAGGGCAGAATATGATGTTTTTCAGTATTTACCAAGCCTATTCATAGTTCAAGGGAATACCGATTTCTATATAATCCATAATTAATCCAAGGAGGTCACCTCCATTAAATACCACTAGAACAAAAATACTGCAAAGATTACAAAGAACTAAAAGCAAAAACACTGCCTGCATTGAAATAACTGGCCAAAGTTTTATTTATGATTCAGAATAGAAATAAGATGTGGACTTGAAGCTTCTACAGAGTTGAATTATCACATAATTATCCACAGTATACATTGCACTAAACCAAATTACTTCCAGGATAAAGAAAACTACAATAGACGGACCAGACATGTTTCAGTGATACAAGTTAGTAGAACAGCCTTACTAGTTTATGCTGAAGATTCATCAGTCTTGCCCTGCTGAGCTATTTTTCCTCCTTAACACACACAAAAATTTAGGGATTTCCTACCAGATGCTGCATTTGGGTCACCATCTTCAATGCTCACTGATGAACCTGTACTCCATGAACCCATTCATACTTTATGCTTCCTCTATGTCCTCTGGCAACAAGTTTCGCCATTTGTTTCGTATGAGAAAATACCTTTTTTTTTTTTCCAAAGCTGGTAAACACTCAGGGATACCTAATTAAACTATTTCATAACAAAAGCAAATAATCCTTCCCATCCTACTCATGAGTTCAATGTTCATCTACCACAGCGCTCTTCCATCAGTTCTTTGAAAGCAGAATCTAGACTAGTTAGCTGCTCCTCCTACAGAAGCTGTTCCTCATCTCTAATCATCTTGTCCTTCTCTCTCTTGCCTTTTACTATACTTCCTTTCCAAGATAGGGCACCCATAACAGTATTTAAAACAAACAAACAAAAAAAAAAAAATCAAGAATGAATTCATCAGACATCTAAACAGTACACAAACAGGAGAATTCTGGAAACTACACAGCAGTTCTCTCAACAGTGCAGATGTACGTTAACTTGCTTTAGTCCATTTGAGATCTGGTTTTATTTTTTAAAAGATGCAGCATATGCAAATTACACAAGATAAAAGACAGTATCTGATATCTCAGGCCTGTACTAATAGCAGAAACCAAATATATTCTGTCTAGAATGTATCTGTGCTAAGGAAAAGTCAGTTTGACCAACGTAACCAGAATGCACCATCAGTAATATGCCATAACAATAAATAGTTCAATTCCAGCCAGGCAATGCTTTTGCTCACAATGGCTAGTTCCATCATGAGTAACAGAACCACATCCAAATGCATGAAAGTAATTTATAGAGGAATTTTTCTTTGGTTTACATATGACATAATGAAGTTGCTTCCCTTTCATCTCTCCGAAACACTTCTATGCTGGTAAATATTCAATTGATTACCTGTCTCCAAATCGGCAGGAACCTGTTTTAATATAGAATGGGCAATTTGCTCTGTCCTTCTCTGTTCCTATATTCTCTGGGGGCTCTGGGTTATGCCAAGTCACACCATTCTCCAGCTGTGGAAAAAAACATGAAAATACACAGAAGTTAGAAAAGAATAGAGAGATGTAATGTCAAAATAAAACTACCAATTAAATCAACATGCAATTATGAGCACTGTGTTACTACAAGGCAAGCTGAACCTATTTTAAGCATTGTTTTATAAAGCTGCCCAGTGCCTTAGGTCTCTGGTGATGCAAACCCCTTTTCTTGACAGTTGTTCAGTTGTAAGAACAAGCCTATATTCATGATTTCTTTTTAACAACAACAACAATAAAAAAGTATCACCAAACTGGGTATCTTCTTTTGCTAAAGGAAAAGCTTCTTTGGTTATAAAAATCTTAAAGAGTTGCAATACCATTTGCTCCTCAAACAATGATCTCATTTGTCATCTACGAGAATTACAAATACTGGGACAGATTCTTTCCATTCAGGTAAGCCCATTACCTACTTCACTCCAGGACCCACTGAGCAGCATTTTATACACTTGGCAGATAGAAAGCTATGACTGTTTACTTATTTGTCTTTGCAACAGCTCAAAGCTCAGTAGGGTTATCACTATCACTTTTTATGCAGCTAGAAATGCTAAAATAAAAGTAACCTGCCCAAGGCCAGAATTAAAATTAACTTCATAGGTAGCACTGGAATTAAAAGCCTCCATACTGCTCATCTCACACCATTAAGATTTCTATAATGCCAAATGGAATACCAAGATGCAAGTGTTGACTGACTACAAGCAGAACACGCATTTTAAAAAGAGAATTTCCATTTTGTTAGCCAAAAGATCCGTAAAGCTGACTAGCCTAAGTTCTCACTTCAAATGAAAACTGTTTATTCACAAGCAGATTTGACCCTGCTACCAGTTCTGTTCATGACTCTCAGCCATAATTTTCTTTCAACAAAACAGCACTGTCACTTCAACAGTGTCAACAGTAAGTAACTGAACCCTGAACTGATACGATAATGCAGTCTCTAACATACCATGCCTCTGCCCATTCCCTTGCAGAAATGGCTGCCAATACATCTTGAGCTCTGGGCAGATGATCGTTCAGGCATTTTTCTACCCAAATTATGAAACAAAAGACTTAGATTTCCTACCTAAAAAACTGTTTAAACATAATTTGGAACTGACTGTAACTCCATTATAGCTATGGCAATCAACATGCAATGGGTTAATTAGGTTAAAAATTCATTTTCAGATTCATGCAGTGGTTTAAGCAGAGCAAGAATCTTCAGAAGTTTAACTGCATGACAGGGGTAAAAAGCCAAATCACTCTTTAAGGCAACAGAAAAGACTGAATTTGCCCTAAGATTGAAATGAAGACTGCAGTTTTCTTTACTACACGCTGCCAGCTGGAGATCCATGCTCTTCCAGGCACTGGAGCAGTCAGCTTCCCCCTCCCCCACCTTTTTTTTTTTTTTTTTTCTTTCCTTAAGGATCTGTGCCTTCCTCTACCACTGAATCCTTTTATTTAGAGCCTGCCATCTGCTTAAAAAGACAAATTTGTCTTGCCACCCAGAAGGACTGACAGATTTATTTAGAATTCTAATTCACAAACAAACCATCATGCATAGTGTTTTTTAACAGCACACAGCAGTATTTCTAGATTCATTTTGACTCAGATCTCCTGAACAGGAATGAGCATGCACAACTGCACTGCCACCAACCAGCCAGATATATGCTTAATTATGTTCCACCCAGTAAATAATTGTTTACAGCTCATGCAAGCCACTACATATTAGATTTATTCAGGCCATTAGATTCTTGAGAGCAGATGGACAACACGCTAGAAGGCAAACACCGGATGGCAATTACATTACTTTACATTTCTTTTTCAAAAAGTCTCTGAGCATACCTGGCTTTCAGCTTGATCCAGCATCCTCTGCACAGCTGCCTATAAATGGTGCAAACACAGGACTAGTGAAAACCCTGAAGGCACGCAAAACATCTGGTTTCTTTAGTTAAGAACCTAATTTACAATACTCCATGATTATGCATAATAGAAGTTTGATGGGGTTTGCTTTAAAACCCAAAGTTTTACTTTTGCTCTGTTGCAATTCATGTACTGCAAAGCTGTTAAAGGATACATCAGACAAGACCCTCATGTAGATGATTTTCTAACCTAAATGCTGGACAACTTAAAGTTTCATTTTCTTCTTTTTTAAAACTGTCATTGAACTATTGGATATATCTCCTGCTCTAGTACTCAGTCTGGTTACAGTTAAACTCATAATTATTTAGTTGCACTAAACTTTTAAACTTAGAACATTCCATGTAACACACAGAAAAACACATTGCTTCGTTAGCTTCTGTTAGAGCAAAACATATAACTGTTAAGAAACTTTAATATCATAAGCTCACTGTATCTAGCCTTCCAAATACAGGAAAACAATGAGGATATTTTTTCCCTTCCTTCTTCTAAGTGGGCTGGGCAAAACAACAAAGTCACTCTCCAAAACTGGCTGGAAATTAGTTCTAACACATTATTCAAGGAAGTTCCAAGAAAAAAAAAAAGACATTTAAACATAACCAATACAAGAAAATATGCTAGCACTGTTCTAACTTGGAAGAGAATGAATTAAATTAAAAAAAGAGGAAGAAAAAATAAAAATTAACACAATCCAAGATGAGGACCCAGACAGCATCTGGTACTAATCATCATGTCAGATATTATCCACCCAATTAAGCAAGTAAGTAAATAAATAAATAACCAAAACCAAGAAACGCCAAACCAGAAAATCTATTTTCTCATCTTAGGGAGGGGAAAAAAAAAAATTTTCATCAGTAAGTCAGAATTTGACTAAACTCCTGTTTCAAGAGAGGGGCCAAATCAATTGAACAACTTCCTGCTGCTGAAATGGGTGGCTCCACGCCCAGCTGGGTACTCAGTTTCCCTCTGGGTGCCTGTCAATGCCCTCTATTTAGCCAATTTGCTCACTAAACCAGTAAAACAGTAACCCAGAAAAAAACCAACACAAACAAACCAACAACCAACAAAAAAGAAAGCAGCTTCTAGCTAGTTTGGGGAACTAAATTAGCCCACTGAGGGCTTGGACAAACCCAGACACAAGGAGAGGGAAGGAACAAAAGTCCCCTGGTTACCATGGTTCAACTCTCTCGGAACTGTATCTCAACCTTAAATAAAGGACACGACCATCATTTTCTCTCCCTACTCTGCAAAGAGAGAAATGGACATGTAACACAAAAGGAAGTAAGACAGGAAATACAACAACTGCTGTTCTTTTTCATTCCTCATGCAAGCGTTATGCAATCAGTGACACAACCAACTATTAAACGCAAGAGACAATACTGTTTGCTCCTGTCTCTTCTCCTGCCGTGGCTACCAGACACAGTAGCAAGACACCTCCCAGTGAAATGACCGGAATCTTTTGTGACTGTGGAAAAGCTAAAATGACCGGATCCTAGAAAGCTGCAACCACCCTTTACTGGCGATAGGCCAGTCCTCATGGTGGATTTCTGTACAGGACATCTAATATCCAGGTCATTCAACTTCTAGAACTTAAGAAAAATGTATGGTTAACAGCAATGTTATAAACTGCTAGTATTTTCAGTATAATTTTTTATCTCCACCCAATGAGCTCTGAAAAAAAGATACGTCCTGTTGGATGAGTCAGGTAAAGAAGAGCTGTAATATATCTTTTGATTAAGAACTGTGTTAAGGAACAGCAGCAATGTAATTCCATATTCCATATCCTGATTGGGCATTTTCTTCAACACTGACTGTGTTCAGCTGGGACATGAAGTAAGGATTATCATGAACGCATGGTGCAAAAAGTGCACATATCAGAACCTGCATTCACAGCCTGCCTTTGTATTTAACTGATGTAAAAAATTACGTACTATGAACACTGAGATGCATTAAAACTAGTTACCCTTCTAGGTATATGGATTCACTAGATCCTCTTTAACAGTGAGTAACAGTTTCAAGAATTTAGACAGAATGGAGAGAACTAACTAGCAAACACATTTTTACTTTAGCCAATTAGAATGAAAGCCCTCTTCAACATGCATAGACTGTTGCATCTGATAATGTAGGAGGATATGTAACATGTTTATCCTCCCACTGCCAGGAATCACCTCTCTTTCTCTCTTCTCCTGTTGCTTCTGCTGTGCCACTTCTCTCTCTTTTCTTTGCTGCTCTTCCCATTCTTCTTTGATCTTCCTCTTTATGATAAAAAAATATTTTAAACAAATTATTTAAGGAAACAAATGCTTTATAATCAAATTCAAAACTGTCATGTTGTATTACAACTCCTTGACCATTAAGTTTTCATCCAGTCATAGGCAACTAAATCTCTGGACAAAAACCCTTTTAGAGAGTCTTTTTTTTCCAATTTTGCTCTTCTAGAACAGAAGAAAGAAGAGCTTATGCTTTCAAACATACTAACCTCAGGAAAACTAGGTCCATTACAGAACAGTAACAGATTTTACACTAAGTCTAACTTACTGCAAATACAACTGTCACACTGAATTTATACATCACCTCTTCTTCTTCTTGGCGTTTCCGTGCAGCCTCTTCTTTTTCTTTCTTAAGCTTGAACTCTTCTTGGGCCTTTTCTTCTCTCAGCAACCACTGCTCATGTAGTTTTTGTCTACAAGGAAACCAGATACCACTTAGACAAAATTTAATGATGTCCTGGTTTCAGCTGGGATAGAGTGAATTTTCTTCCTAGTAGCTGGCATAGAGCTGTGGTTTGGACTTAGGATGAGAGTAACACTGATAACACCCTGATGGTTTAGTTGTTGCTGAGCAGTGCTTACACCAGTCAAGGACTTTTCAGCTTCCCCTGCTCTGCCGGGTGCACCAGAGGCTGGGAGGGGGCACAGCCAGGACAGCTGACCCCAACTGGCCAAAGGGCTATTCCAGACCATACGGCATCATGCTCAGTATAGAAACTGGGGGGAGTTGGCCAGGGGGCAGTGATCGCTGCTTGGGGATGGGCTGGGCATCGGTCAGCAGGTGGTGAGCAATGGCATTGTGTATCACTTGGTTTTTATATTTTTATATTCTGTTATTATTCTTATTATTATTCCTCTGCTGTTTTATTAAACTGTCTTCATCTCAATCCACGGGTTTTACTTTTTTTCTGATTCTCTCCCCCATCCCACTGGGGGGTGCAGGCGAATGGCTGTGTGGTGTCCAGCTGCCTGCTGGGTTAAACCACAACAAATGACTACCCACAACTGATGCAACTGTCATGAATACAATTAAAATATATTAGTTATGCAATTATTACATCTCATCTAACCTTCTTTAAAAGAGAAAATTCTATAGGAATCATTTGGGCTTTAGAGAAAAACTGTAGCCACACAAAAAGGATTCTATTTTACAGGAGATATTGAAACTTTTAAAAGGAATTGACTACAAATGTATCTACTGCATATATGCCATTTTCTAGATTTTTCACCTTTCTGCCTCAAGTTTTTTTTCTTCTTCTTCTTCTTCTTCCTCCTCTTCTTCCAGCTCCTCCTCTTCCTCCTCAGACACCGATTCATCTTTTTCTGTAGCTTCTGAGAAAATACACAAAACAATGCATCTAAATAACTGGATGTTATAGTCAGTAAAGATACACAAAATTACATCCTTTTAAAAAACAAAAACAACACAAAAATCACTATTAATTCCACTGACAATACAAAAGCACTTCACAGTTACCTGAGTCTCTTAGTTTGGCAAGCGCCTGCCGCTTTTTTTTTCGCTTTTCTTTCTTCAGAATAGCTCTGTACTTTTGATGGCTGAAGATGAGAGAATATTATTTCTATTAAAGCAGCCAAACAAAGTATTTTTACTGTCATACATGCACTCAATTTACACCAGCAGTACAAAACCCCACAAACAGCAAAATTAACAGCTATTCATCTATGAAACAGTAACTCTATAGGGACATCCTGACATGACAATGAAATCTGTAGCTATGCTGTTAAAGCTGCATGTGAACAGCAGCAACAATCACATTCGGTCCAACACAGAGCATCTCATCCTTCCTGAGCTCTGCAGTACTTGATATTATCACCAACTCCACGAAATCTCCCTTAGTTCCTGAAACTTGGTCACTAGATAACATTAGGGAAAAAATTTGGGCATCTCCTACCCTATAATTTTGGCACACCTTTCAGCACACTCTCTTTTACAAGGTATGAAATTTTAAGTCCCTTCCCTACTCCCTTGATATTCTCTACAGGCAGCAGCCTTAATGTATAGATAGCAAAAGCACACTTAACAACCACTATAGGTAATGCTCAGGTCTACTCTTCTGCTACTGAAGCCTGGCCAGACTCACCCTTGCTTGTCTGACAGCTCTGCAAGGCTGCCTAGAAACAGCACCATGCTTTCATTATGGTTAAAAACCCACTGAGTACCTGAAAGCCTTTTCATATTGACCCCTTTTCTGTCATTTTTCATGCTAGCTCTCTTCTTCCTAACCAGCTGATAACGGAAAAACAGGAGGGAAGGATATCTTTGACTCCTGTCATTCTGCCACACCAAATATTGATGGGAGATTGAAATCTTCCTGTTTTGGAGTATGTAATTTTAACAGACTCCATAGGTGTAACTCAAGACAGCCAAAACATCACCTGCATCTCCAACTCTTCCTTTCAGGTTTACTCACAACCTCACCATCTGCACACCTGTATACGCCATCAGTAACACCGTGGTGGTTATCCCTGCAGCAGAGTGCCTGTCCCCAAAGGCCACTGCCTGACTTTATGCTCTGTCCCCATCGAAGCCTTCTACCTTTTATGAAGCAAGCCTAACGACTCTTCTGGTCTAGTCACCTGCCTGAATCTCATCCGCTCAGCAGGTGCTTAGGGCTGACAATTGAGAGGATACTTCCTTCCTAGTACCCAGGCTTTCTTCGGTGCTCTTGAAGCCCAAGGAAGAGAGCAAGCAACTCTCCTCACTCCCAGGCCACAGCGGCACCTTAGCAGGTGGGCAGATGGCTAAAGCGCAAGGGGCAGCGGCACCCCAGCTGTTCCAGAGCTGGGGCTCGCCTCCCCCTCCAGCCGCACGGCACTGGCCAGCCACGCCACCCCAGCAAGCGGGGAGCGTAGGTGCTTGCACAGACTCAGAGAACGGGACCGGGGATCCCATCATCTGAGGAGGGGGGCGGACAGGGCCCAGCCCGGGCACGCAGGTGCCGGCTACCTCCCCGCGCCGCGACTTTCACCG